GGAATGAAGTAGAAATCCATTTTTCAAAAGAGTGAGCATCAGGTAATGATGGGTGCATCTTTTTATTTTTAACTTGATGATGTTTGCATTAAGTTGTAAAACATTTGAATGCTGTCACACCCCATATCATACATACATATTTGTTAACTACTATGAAGCCCTTTTCTGAGAAACATCATAGAGACCAAGGGAGGGAAAACCCTCAGGTATAAAATTGATCCTTATGAAGGAAAATGTAGGTCCCTGATTTTACTACTAGTAACAGTTTAAAATAGAATTTGAATTCTACTCACAAATTGGTTTTCTTCAAATGCTAGGTCAAAACAAAATTTTTGAAAGAATTTTTTTTCTATAAATTATATACAAATATCATCTGCATGTTTTCATCTCAAAGTGATTCTGCAAAGACTCAGGAAAAAGCCATTGTACAATAGCAGACATCACATAGTGTTATTTTTGTATCAGGATTTTACATATCTAAAGTTCCACCTAAAGGTCAGTTCTTTGAAATCCTTTATCTGCATTTCCAAAGGAATGGGTTGGAAGATGTTTTGGGACATTAAAAGTGTCTCTACTTGTTTTAGTAAGATTTTTGCCACTATGACCAAAAGACCTGAACAGAACAACTTTAGAGGAGGAATAGTTTATTTGAGGCTCTTGGTTTCAGAGGTCTCAGTCCATAGTTGGCAGACTCCATTGCTCTGTGCCTGAGATAAGGCGGAACATGAAGGTAGAAGGGAGTGACAGAGGAAAGCAGCTCAGAACATGACACTTGGGAAGCACAGAGAGTAATGTTCATCAGGGACAAAATATATATCCCAAAGGCACATCTCCAGTGACCAACTTCCTCCAGCCACACCCCACCTACCTACCTACCGTTACCACCCAGTTAAACCATTCAAACAGATTAATACACTGATTAACCAAGCATTTCTAAATTTTCTTGCATTGTCTCATATGTGAGCTTTTGGGGGGCACCACATATCCAAACCATAATGGTACTCCTTTTGATATTTTCCTCTCTTCCTTCTCCCCAATTCAAGCTGGTCTGGTGGTCCCTGCCTTGGGGAAGGCACCTGGCAAGGGAGAAAGTAGATCTTTTTTTTTTTTTTTAATGGAAACCTAATTCTCAGGGGAAAGGCATTTGTTGGCTAGAGTGTCTGAAGGGAGAAATATTTCTATTAGCTGATAATTTCTTTTGGATTAGGGAGAGAGGAGGCTAAATGTCCTGAGTACAGAGGACTGTATTGACTTCCTCACAGCACCACAGGAGGGCATCAGGGTGGAACAGCACAGCCAATCAGGAGCGGGAGTGCAGGGGATGAGGACAAGGGCCACATGGAGTAGACTGACCAGCTTCACTTCACTGGTCAGCTGTGCAAGCTAGGCCAAAGGGCCTTCCTCTGAAGCGTGGCACTTTGAGGAAAACTTTGCTCACACATATAACATGTATGGGGCCAAGTCACCCAACAGGACAGAGTGGGCTCTCAATTTTAGAAAATAAGTCGTGAAAAAGAAAATATTCCTTGTGTACCTGAGTGTTACAGAGTAATACAGCAATACCAGTATACTAGGAGTTAGGTCTAATCTACAGAAGTCCTTGTAACATATGTGTTGAAATAAAGAAAATTTATAATCAAAAGAATGAAATGTGCCTGTGGATCTTAACAGCAACATTGAAAAATGTCTTCATCTTGATGTGGATGCAACCTGAAATCAGGATTAAGGAAAGGAGAATGAGGAAGTAAGTAGTAATGAAGGACTGCTGAATATGGAAACCTATGGTTAAATGATGGGTGTGAGCGTGTAGATTGGTACCTACCAGAGGGCAGGAGTAACAGTCTGTGACTTAGTCTGCCTATACCATCTTCTTGACTGTGTAGCTAAACAAGCCATTGGCCCCAATCCTGCACCAGGGAGGAGTGGGAGAGCTGGCTCAAGTGGTCACTGAGCCTGTAACTGCTCCCCTAGCCCACCCTCTTTAAAATCTTGGGCTCTAGTTTTCTTAGAATAGGCAATTGGGTAAGATAATATGTCTGAGTTTCAATTTCCTCTTTTTTAACTTCTGTCCATTAATATTATTCCATTAATATTTTATTTTTTAATCAGAAATTTACTAACATTAAAAATTAAGATATTTATTTCTCATGTGACTACATCTTAAGTGCCAGGTATGTTCACATTGATTCATTACATTAATGTTGTAATTACTACAGCCCTAAGAGATTGTACTATATTATTTACTGTTTTCACATTATTCTCTGTTACGCACAAAATCAGTGGTGGAGCTTGGAATCAAACTTGGGATGAGGTGACTCCAACACCCAAACCTTTTCCACTAAAATATACAACCTCTATTTAGAACTCAATCTAAAATTTAAGGTTTTTCCTTTTATTTTATACAAGCTTATCACTACAATTTTAATTTGATTTACTTCACCTGAGATTTAGTGGCTACCTACTATATGCTAATTATTGTATATGATCTAAGAGGTATACAAGAAGTAAAATAAATAAAACATTGCCTTTGCCCTTTTTGGGGTTCAGTTGGACAAGAAAGACATTTTAAAACATGCCATATGTGTGAACAAGGTATTATACATTAGTTTTCCAGAAAATTGATAAACATCTCTTCAAACAACAAACACTTCAAGGATGAGAGGGAAGCAATCTGATTGGCCTCACTTACTATGGCTTTGGTGTCCTTGTGTATAAAATGGAATTGCTATTTTCCCTAAGAGTTGTTTTCAGAATTCTACATGATAATGTGTGGGCAGTGCCTGGTACAGATTAGGGATACAATACATCTTAACAATAAAGACAAAAGTTTAATTTCCAGTGAGAATAAGTTTCTCAAGGGGCACCGACAGCTACATTTGCAAATCAGCATATTCTTCTAAATTTCATTTATTTAGTTACTTATTCAATAAATATTCATTGATTACCTACTATTCTAGGGAATTGGAACACAGTAAACAAAACATAGGAGAATGCCCTTTAGTGTTGTGTGTTGAAGATAAACTCGGCAGCCCTCTGGGGTAGGTACTGCAGTCATCCTCATTTTACAGACTGTGACATGGAGGCATGGACTTTCTTGCCCATGGTCACTGAATATGGAGATGCAAAGCAAGTGACCTTGAATACTGCCATCTGCCTTTTATGCAGTTTTCCAAGTAGAAAATATAGGATTTCATTTTCTTTATTCAAAGTGACCATTACTATCCACCAATTATTGTGATGTCACATGGAGATGCTCTCAGAAACTATTGTCCTTGAGGGGTTGGCTTCCCCTGCCCTAATTGACCCAGAACTATGATGTAGTTGGTGACCAGCTGTCAATTCCCACAATATCTAGTGCTTTTAATGCAGCTGGGGTTACCTAGGGGAAAACTAGGTAGCATCAGTAAACCATTGAGGGTTTTTTCAGATGCAATTCTAAACATAGATTCTGTCTCCCTCAAATGCCAATTGGAATGTGACACTATTCTCTCCTAAGGGGAAAATGGCATCAATTTCCCCAGAGGCATCCATCATCAACTTGTGTGCTTAAATTGCCTAAGTTTGCTCTAAGACTGAAAAATGCCTGTTCTAGTCTCATTCACAGCCCAGTTCCTCTCAACAATCCTACAAATCCTGCAATCTTTCCACCTCAAGGAACACATTTTATATAGTTTTAAAATTCTAAGTATACAACATACTATCATTTAAACCTAACAAGCTCTATGAGATAAATGAAGAAACAAGCTCAGAGAGGTTGAATAATCTAAGGATGCAGTTTTAAGTGGTTGCAGGATTTGAACCCAGGCCATGTCCCTGTTCTTAAAACAATTAAGAACAGCAACATCTGTATCTTCACTTCATTCTCTAATTCTTATCCAAAGAAGAAAGGCACTTTTAACAGAAGAAAAGACCATATTTAGTAACTCATTAGGGGTAATAATGTGTTTATCAAACATACTTTGGAGCCCTGGTATGGCTATTCTTTGCTGTTTCCTTGACCCTAGTGTGCTTTGCTTTATTCAACTGTGAAATCTAGGAATGCAAGAAAAGGCCTAAAAGGCTCTCAGTAAGCAAAGCACCAATTCTTCACCGCTCCAGGATCTCCTGCGGTTTAACTGAACTGCACGCGCCGAATCTGCAAAGCTTAAGATGCTGACACAGTTTGCAGTGATTTGGAATCACCTTTTTTATTGGTTGCAGGGGCATGCGGAGTGTGTTAGTTGCACCACTTGGGTTCCAACCCAGAGAGACAGTTAATGTGGTTAGTTTCGTTCCGGATAGAGGATGGAGGGTCCCGCCAGTTACCTGAGGCCAGCACGAAGGCCGGGACGCTGTGGAAGCGCACAGGGCCACAACTGCGGCCGCCCTTACACTCCACAAAAGCGGTCACCAGCCCGCATGGGCAGTGGATGTTGACACGGGCCTCGCAGGTGCCGGCTGGGGGTGCAGGCACCAACCCGAAGTCGAGGGCGAAGCGGCCAAGCGCCAGCACTGCGTGGCCGCACATGGAACTGTAGCCCTCGTTGTGCAGGAACAGAACGCCCAGGTGAGCGTCCGGAAGCTCGCTCTGCACCAGGACAGCTCCGTACATGTCCCGGTGACCCCGGGGCTCGAACATGAGTCGCCGCCGCACGTAGTCAAGGTGCTGGCGCATGTAACGCCGCTTGGCCAGCAAAGTGGGCCCTTCCACCTCTGGACACCCAGCCAGCACAATGCGCAGGGGCTCGCCGCCCGTGTGCATGTCCACCACCGACAGCGCCGGCGTCCCCGGGTGGTGTGGGGGTAGGCGGGGCACGGCTAGCGCGCTCTCCATTGTCGGTGTCCAGCAGCTCCACCACTGCCCAGCGGTGCTCGCCCAAGGATAGGAACCTACAACTCACCCTAACCCAGAAGGCTAGTGGGCGTGGCAGCCTTAGGGGCGGGGCATTGAGACTAAACCAGGAAGTATGGGCGGGGCTTCTGGCGGTCGCCCGGGTTACCAGGAGGCGGAGCCGTCAAGGCTGCTGTAGCCCGGATGTCCGAGTGCCCCTGTCGCCTCCACTGATCCCGGAGCTACTTGAAGCAAACCTTCCAGCGGTCAATGGGTGAGTGGTCGACGGGATTTGGAAGAGTTTATTTTAGTCCCGGCTTTTTTCCTACGCAGTCGGCTCCGGTATGGCTGCGGATGGGCAGCCATCTATAACGGCTCATTCTCTCCCTGGTTTCCACCTGCCATGGGGCCGGGCCCTGGACACCTCCTGGGGTTGGGTGGTGTCTGCTCCTGACAGGCTGCAAGGGGGCGCGGGCTGTTATGGGGGGGGGGGAAGGCCCAGCCTTTTGTTGTTCTGTATGAAATGTCACTTCAGTCCCTTTGTGTAATGCGGAGGAAATGCATTAATGAATTAAGAGCGCGGGCGTTAGAACAGAACAACAGTAAAGGAGCAGAAGCTGATTACTGCATAGATTAATATCTCCTGCTTCATTCTCCGCGCTTTAAGTTTATAGGGTCCTTCACAGACAGACCGTTGGGGGGGAAAATCTTCTAAAATTTTAACCATTGTTCAGTAAAGGAAATTAAAGGGGAAATTGAACAGACTTTTGGAGCCTGGGTTTTGTTTGGTAGATGGTGAGCTGTTGCTTTCAGTTTATCGTACAGGATATTTCAGGTCTTGGATCTCGAGAAACATTAGATTATGTACCTTCAAGAAGAATTACTAAGCATTTACTAGATATAAAGCCCTTGCAGAAGCTTCCAATTCTTTAACTTTTGCCTTCTTGAAACATTTATTTTCATGTATTTAGAATCCTGTAATTGATTATAGTTGCCTATTTTAAAAAGCGACAAAGAAGCTCATGTGTTTACAAAACTAAGTCCAATATTTGATAAAATCAAAAATACTAAACTTGAAACATTTTACCTAGTGTCTTTTCTGTTTATTTTTCAGCAGCAGCAGGATAAATAAATGGAATTTGAAAGGTGAAAAGGCCTTTAGATAAGGCAGTCTCAATTGTGAAATCATGAAGAATTTGGGAAAAGATTGTTCTAGTCATAAAATGCATTATTTTCCAAATCAATTCACATTTATACCATAGTTGATTTGGATTTATTCCACATTAGGCTATAGGTTCTTAGAAAGCAGGGACTCTGTCATGCTTCTCTGTGGACCTTTAGTGGCCCTTAACTAGTGAAAATGATCTCAGTACGTGTTTATTCAAAGAATAAGCTAGTGCATGAAGGGAATCAGATGTCACGTATGAAAAACTCCTCCAACAATTTTTCCTGGTGGATGAGATCCAAGATGATCTGTAGGTCCTAAGTTTTTTGGTAAAGAAGACTTATTTCCCTCCCACCTACTCCCCACTCCCACCCCTACCCCCACCCCACCCGCACCAGCTTTGAGTTCAGGGATTTGATTCTAAGGCACTTGTTCCCAAATTTTGGTCAGAGGCCCAATGATGACCTTGGTGAAATTTTCGCCTGTCCTCAAAAAAATGATAAAAGCTAGGACAATATAGGAATTTTTTTTTTATTGAGGTGAATGTATTTACTCTCAAATGTTTACCCTCTATTCTGAAATTGTCCTTTTTGCTATTAAAATGTGTTGTTATGAACAAAGATTATAATAGATTGTATGTGCTTAATTCCTGAACTGGGTACAATAAAAAGTGATGA